CAAAACATGACACAGAGACATGAAGTGAGCAAATGCTATTGGAAAAATGGTGCCAACACATTTGCTTGGCACAGGGTTGCCACAAACCTTCAGTTGGTGAAAAATGCAGTATATGTGAAGCACAATAAAATGAGATATGTCTGTATCTCATTTGCCCCAGTGGGATGCCTTCTAGGAAGTTGACCTGCATCCACTAATTTAACCTCTGTGGGGTGAGAAGTAATTTATTAATTAGATATTGAAATTTGCAAGTGATTTTTCTCTTAAAAAATATGCAACAGAACAGATACTAGGCTAGTCGTGTAGAAATGTTATTCTCATTTATTTGCAATACAGTGAATTTTCTCTAGTTGGGAGAAAGGGTGGTGTTCCCTACACTTTGAACAGGTGACTCAGGCCCAGGTCAATTCTGCTGCTGCCTGCAGCCTCTGTGGAAACCCCCAGAGGAGCCCTGGATTCTCTAGATTAGTCAGGATCACCTTCAGCCCTGAGGCAGCTCCCTCCCATTCTTTAGCAAGTTCGTTTCCACTATTTAAAAACACACTCACCTTTCCTCTCCACACTGTCAACCCCGATAACTCACCTTTACTTAGTCAACCTCACTTCCCTCTGCTTACAAAAAATAAAGAGGATCTTTTTTTTTTATTCTACACAGGCAGTGTTCTTATACTTCCATGTCCAACTTGTTCCTAAAAATGTGGATTTGAAATGACTTCCAAAATTACATATATTAGAATTTTTAAATAAATATCAAGGCCATAGAAAAGACAGGGGGATTTAAGTCACACATATACAAATTACAGGGTATCACATAATTGCTGAAGATGAGATGTGGATTTAGCTCTGAGTATCCTGGCAGCCAAAGAAAAAGAGAAAGATGACCCATTTAATGATTAATTGTTTCCCTGAGGAAACACAAACACACTCTTCAGGGAAAGCAATGTGATTCCTTCACTGAGTTCTGAAAGGTGATTTTACCCAATATTACAGGATCTAAGTGTGGTGAAGAGAAAGTAGTGCCTCAGTTAAGGCCTGTCTGATTGTCTGTTTCCATTGATACCTCTTAAGGGCCTCATGCTGTTTCATGCCCTGTGCTGGTCTATACTTGACTGGTAGTTGCTTTGACCAAAGCTTTTAACCTCAAAACTGCAGGGAATTGTTACAACCTCTGCAATTGTTCAGAGTTTACACACTTGAAGTGTGGCATCTTTGTTGATTATTTGGCTAGAGCTCTAGCTACTGTTTCTCTCAATTTGCTGTTGGAAAGATACATGTAAATGTTGGGACTTAAAGCATCTCCCACTCTTCTGATGGGATACTTGAAAAAGGTCGGTACTTTAGGAAGGGTCTCTCTCTGACCCATCCTGGCACTGCCTGGTTTCTCTCTGAGTCTCTGAGCTGCGCCGCAGGGTTGAAGTGGTTCTAGGGTTTGGTTGGACTTTCTGAACAGCACCTAGATGAGGTGCCGCCTGAAAAATGCTCCCTTCCCACTATTGGTCACATTCTGTCCCTGAGTCACCCTCTTCCCTGCTCCCTCTTTCAGTTTAACCACTTCCTGCCCACTATTTGTTGTCTAAATAGCACAGTCAGAATGACATATCTGAACACTTACCAACCATCTGACGTAATTTTCCCTTCTAAGCTGATTTCTTTTCTAAATGTCAGAATTCTGTCTTCTGAAAGGCTAAGCTACTTTCCCGATGGTGCTCCAGCTTCCCTTGTTGCTAGTAAAGCAATCATAATTGCTGATGTGTCTTAAATGCTTATTGAGTGTCAGGCACTGGGCTAGGCTCTCTCCATACCTGATCTGAAACCCCACCCCACCCCAGCAGCCCTGGGAAGTAGGTGCTATAATTATCCTTGCTTTCCACACTTGGAAAACAGAGCCCAAGACACTTGCCCTGAGTCACCCAGAGTGTAAAGAGTGGAGTTGGCGTTGGCTCTTGGGTTCATCTTACTAGTCTTTGTGCTTGACCATCACCCAGGACCTCCTTCCAGGGTATCTAAGGGACAAGGCACACCCCTGAGGATCTCTTCTTCCACTTGGCTAGCTGGCTCATTTTTGTTGATCAGAATTAGCCTCAGTACAACAGCATCTTCTATCGTCTGGGCAACGGGAATATAAGCAAAGCAAGGCAAGAGTCTGTCATTCTGTTTTTAACTAAATGGCCTTTCTGACAGATGGGCATTAGGTCTACCGTCCCCACTGGCCACTGTGCAGAGCTGGAGGCTTCTGCCAGTTACCGCCCAGCCTGGCTATCTGGGTGGTCAGCACGTCTGGTAGGGCTGGTGTGTTTCTCCCTCCTGCTGTCCCCTTGGTCCTCCCAGGAGTCTTCTCTTCCAGGCCCATGATTTCCTTGAAGGAAGCAGACTGCTGACAGAGCTCCCTATCTCGACTGCCATCGCTCAACTCTGCCTCCAGGGGAGGCCAAGAGCTTACAAAAGGCTCTTCCCTCCCCCCAGGGCCTCAATGGACCTCTTTTGCCCTGAGTCCCCCGGCCACCAGCTCTATCATGGCCATACCCTTTGTTTCTGGGATGGCTTTTGTCTGTTGTCCCACTAAATCCTGAGCTTTTTCCCCCAAGATGTTGCCTTCACGCATACTAAGGGAGGCTTCCGGAAGCTCCAGGCCAGCAGAGCCTGCCCTTCTGCCTGCTGAAGGGAGCGTCACTCTCTCCTAGTGGGCATCTTGCTTTTCCTCTGGCCAACATCACCCCTAGTCAGCTGTCAACAGCCTAGCCACCACGTCTGGTCACCACAGCACGCCCCAAGGATTCTACATGGGTCCGAGCAGGCAGAGAGCTGGCTGCACAAGCAATGCGAAGCCCTCAACACTGATTCCTACATAGCTCCTGCCCATGGGGCTCTTGGCCTCTGGAAGCCAAATGTCCCTAATTGATGGGAAGGTACAAGGGGACAGCAGGATCAAGGGGCTGCTATTCCAGAGTCTCTTGGCAGAGAGCCTTGGTGTGTCCCTCCTCATCTAGGTCACAGTGACATCTAAGAGGGGGACCAAAGTGACAACTTGAAAATGGGGGTTCCAAAGCCTATGAGGAAGCTGTGTTGAGTAAATACTGGTTGAATAAGCGACGTCACAGTTTCCACAACCAGAAAGATGTGGTGAGAAAGACAGTCTTCAGCTTCTTTGCAGCAGTCTTCCCATCCTTTGCTGGTGTCTTCCTCTGGCAGAATGCGGGGTTATCGCCACAAGACACCAAGGGACTCAGGCGTCGGGGGTTATTTCTCATAATAGGCAGGGAGGGAGTTAAGAGCAGGGGAGGGCGATGGCTTAGCAATGACAATCCACAAACATCTTGTGCATCCCGTTTCTGCTCCATTAACTGGAACTTAAGTGCTCCTCAGAAAATGGGAAGCTGCATTCAAAGGCTTAAAAACAGAAAAGATGCTATATGTGGAAACTTGATTACAGTCTGACAGGGTTCTTGCAAAAACAGAGGCAAGGGAGCGTGGGGCCCAGGAGTCCGAACCCACCTGCTCTGTGGACTTGGGACACGGGCAATGCCGGCAGCACTGGCCCCGGGCTGGTGTGAGTCCACCAAGGCCCTGCAGGAGGGCACCCCATGCTTAAGCTCAGGGCAGGTGAGTTGCCCATAATGATGAGAGAGGGACCCTTACAGCATAACAAGGGGCACCTCTCATTAGGCTACTGTGAATGGTCAGGAAGCCTTGGGAATAAGATTTGTCATTTTTGGGGGGAGGGGAGGCTGTCTTTATGTGAGAACTGTCTGCATAATTATCTGCGGTTGCGAGCTGCCTCTCCTTAGCCACCATACACAGCCGTCCTATGCCATGGTAGACATAGTTTTCCACATGCTCCTGATGGTTCTCTCCTTGGTGGGTTCCATTTGGGGCCTGTCCAGAGACAGATCCTCGAATCACAGACCCTGGGTGGGCTTGCACGTGGCCCCAGCTTCTGGGAGAAAGCCGGAGGGCCAGGCTACTTTGCCGACGTGGAAGTATGGGAGGGATCCTTTGGCCGCCATCCCAGTGACCCTCTAGGGCACCATAAAAACCTTTCGAAACTTATAGGTGGCTTTAGCATAACAAGTCACTGGTCAAGAAAGAAGAAGACACCTTTTTCCTTCCTCTTGACTCTGAGCAAGCACTCTCTCAGGGGAGCAGGAATGTTGGCTCAGGTTGGCGTGTTGGGCTTTGCGAACTTGCCGGGACTTTTCAGTCATTTACACTGGAAGGGCGGCTCCTGGGGGCAGAGCTTTTGTTCGCTGATGTGTCTTCAGCTCTGTGACAAAGCCTGGCACAGAGCAGGTGCTCAATCCCTCTTTGTTAAATGAATGAATGAATGCAAATTAACTGACGGGGGTTAATAAGTAGAAGAACTGGCTTCTTAAACCAGGCGTCTTCCTCCTGTCAGCGGATTGTGTGGTACGTGAGCTCTTTCAGAGGGCCCGTCCTCATCACACGTGGCCCGCTGCACACGGAGTGCTCCCAGCCGCCTGGCCGCTGCCTTGAATGCCTGCCCTGTTGCCCTGGATGTCCTCTTTAGGAGAGAGCCTAGCAGAAAGGCGAACACCTGTTCATCTCCAGGGCTTAATTTGAATGCCATCCCGTCTGATTTCTCATAGTGTGTCCCTGTACTTAATTCGACAACCACATGGCATTACAATGTGAGTACATCCCTCTTTCCCACCAGACCAGGCGCTGCTGGAAAGATGGGCAAGTTGCGTTCGTCCTGCAGCTCCAGCACACTGCCTGCATGGTTAGGGGCGTTGTGAGGAGTGAGCTGAGAGCAAGTGCAAGAGCTGGCAATACGGGTAAGGAGGGCAACTGGCACCATTCCTAATTCTGATCCACAAGTGGGCTCCACTGGAGCCGCACAATCTGGACTCTTACCACAGAATCCAAGGGCTGAAAACCTTCAGCCAGTGAATTTTCCATGAAAAAAAATCTGATTCACTCAGTTTTGTAAGGAAGAACTATGAAAGGTTAAACTGGGGTATAAAACATCAGGCGGACCAAAGTTTCTTTCGTAATGAAATAATTTATTATTTGTTAATGGTCAAACAGCACAGAAGTTTACATACACACAGCAAAGATTCCCTAAAACATGTAGTTCTAAAAATGCGTGTGCTAACTGTAGTAAAAGCACCATTCTCTATATTTTGACACAGGATTTACATTGGCATCATATTTACATAAATAAACAAACATCTGGAGACAGAATTTCATACTCTCTCTGCTGCTCCTGTTTAGGGTGTGTTCACCATTAGGAAGAGGGCCCCTGACATTGAGGGTTAACAGCGATGTTCCCAGAGCACCAATTCTAGGGACAAGGGCTGAAGGCAAGATTGGTTCTCAGGTAAAAGCTAAAATGAAGAATGTCCCCCAAACCCCCAGATAGAATAAGAAATCAAAATCTAGCCAATCTTAGAATTGGGTACCTTACTAATTCTCATTTTATGATTTTGAGAGAAGTCAAAGGTACTCAATTTCTTCAGCCATTTAACAGCTGACTCTAACAGTGCCAGGCAATTATTTCTTCTTTCAGAAGAATATAGTACCAGAAAATCATCTTGTAATAAATATTAATGAAAAAATCATGATAAGTCACATATCAGTCCACCCAGCACCCTCAATACCCAGGTATCTTTGGAAACAAAACATCTGTCTACAGAGATCTGATCCTGTAGAATGAGAAAACCCACCCCACAAAGGGTCTTTGGGTTGTCCTCTCCCAGGAAGCATTGAGTAAATCAGGAGTAGCCAGCTACCTGCACATAATGCATCCAGGAGGCAGACATAAGAAAATAATGGACTGACATTTGAAGGAAATTGCCTGGTAGCCTTTGACTTCCTGGTGTTCAACACACAGGGCACGTATGGGAGAAAACGAACTTAGAGACACAAGTAAAAAAGACAAGACCGAGATTCAGGAATAGATTAAATAGCACAATGAAAGTGGTATTCTTGCCCACAAAGTATGATATAAGAACCTAAATGACAACATTATGTATATTTTAAAAATAAGTTTTCTCTTTAATGATGGGTTAGACTCAAGGAGAAAAAATCCCACAAAATCTCTTAGCAAGCCCCAAGATATTGCAGGACGCTTACTTTGAGCATCACAATTCTACCTATTTTATGGGCTTTCCCCCACCACACCTCAGGGTTTTGTTCTTGGCCACTTCAGGGACGGAGAAGAGAGGCCTGTAGGAAACTCAGGTAAGGACCCTTTGTTTCTTTTGAAAAAAGTAGAGGTTAAAGGAAGATGCCTACCTTAAAAAAGCCAAAACCACTCAAGGGGCAGGGCCTACTTAATGCCCAGTTTTGAATCGACATTGAAATCATTATTACAGTCTTAAATTTACCAGGAGAAGATTCTAGGTCCTGCTGAAAAATGTGGCACACTTTGAATCATTAACTAGCATTAGGTCTGTGACTAAAGAAAGGAGTCAGCAATCACTATCTGCACCTTGAAGAATTCAGGATCTCTGCTTAGCAAAAGAAAACCAAAACAAATACCCTGGGTGTTCTGCCTGCCATTACAAGCCAACAGGCATGGAAAGCTATGTTTTCTGGGATGTTAACAGAAGCAAACATGTATTTTCTCACTGCATGAAATCAAACTGACTACATACTCTGATTTTCCCATTTGCATTGCAATGGTATCAGTGAGTATACATTTCTTTTTAGGTTTTAAAAATCAATTTTTCACATAAAAATATGCATATGCCTGTGTTTACAGACATATGTATTTAAGTACAATTGTCAAAGTCTTAAAGGCTGGGGTTTCTATCTTTGCCCATTCCCTCCCCCCACCCACCCACGACAACCCCTGATAGAAAGGTTTCTCATTTTGCTTAAAAAACAAAACCTCAAAGACTGTATAGCTCTTAACTGTCCCGCTGGTGGATCCATGAGTGAGAGGACAGATTGGTGGGTTGGGCTGCCCCTCAGCCACATGGGAAGGGGATTAGCTGCCTGGGGCTGAGTTTGCTGGTCCTGAAAGTTACAGTTTTGGTGAGAGAGGCCTGTCTAGCATGCCATGGTCTACCTCAGGTTTTGAAAAGTCATGCCAAACCCTGGTGTCAGTTTATTACAAGGGCTTTAAAAATATAGAGATCTATCAAGTCCTACATTTATATATGCAATCAAATTGAAAAGGACCAGACAAACAGTGCAAAGGTCAAATAATTACTGTTTTATATTGGGACAGTACAGTTCATATTTCAACCAAAAGACAAAAATGCAGTTTAACTCAAAGGCACAACAATTAAAACACAGAAAATAATAGCATCTCAGATGCCACATTTCTAAATTAAACAAATACACAAATTTTGTTCCCTTCCCTCCCCCAATGCAAACCCACAAGCTTTTCCCGAAGTCTTGAGTTTTTTGATGCCATCCAGCATCCAGCATCTTGGACTTGTGAGGCGCTTGAATGTAGCAAACAAAATGCTTGAGAGGTCTAGCGAATAGCATTCGAAAGGGACCTCAAAGTGCAGATATATCTTTTTCAAACATGTTACAGGCTGAGCTGGCTCTCTGAACACTATCACGCTGCTTAAATCCAGAAAGCAGGCTTTAAAAATGCAAAAGGCATACAAGTTGTATTTCAGTGCAAATCTTCAGCTGGTAATCGGAAAATATTCCAACAATAAAAAAACCCTTTGTGTCACCTGCCCTCTCCATACCCAAAGCTGAAAAGAAGAAGAAAACCAACAAAACAGAACCCAGAAGAATTACAGATGACTTTGGAATCATTTAGGAATCCACGACTCCAATTAAAAACTTTTAAATACATTAAAGAATCACTAAAAAGAAAAACCCACAAAAGTAATCTTGCTTTGTTTAGCCTGCTCTTCCTGTAGAGCATGAGCCCCTGTGGAGAGTGCGTGTGGACTATTAGTTGCATGGAAGGTGGAGGCGCTGGAGGAGCAAGGCTGTGGCGGGCTAGAGACCTCAGGCCAGTGGGAGCACCGGGCCGCCTGCTCCTGGTTCCGCCGCGGAGCCCTTAGGTTGCAGTGCGTCTGTGGATTGTAGGAATGTTCTCATCACTTTGTGACACACAGTTTCAGCGTCACAGATTTTACAAATGGTTCAAATTTGATGAAAAAGATTTGCCAGAGGCTGACAACATCAAGACTTCAAAAATATGAATGCAAAAATATTAAGGGGAATGAACCAATTTTGTAGATACCTACATACAAAGTTTCTAGAACATCTATAAAAGCACAAAGTCATAAGAATTTATTTCTATTACATTAGTTTATATAAAATGAATAAATAGTATTTATAGATTTAATGTGTCTTATGTACATATACATGTGCTCTGTTTTAGCTTAAATAAAACTGCTACAAAGTGGGAGACCACTTAAGGGAGAAATCATAACCAAAAAGAAAACTCAGCCTTTTAAACTATCAACCCAAAAACCTCCATAAAGAAGTTTCCGGGAGTGTCCAAAAATAATCACTTAGGAGAGAAATTCTAGTGACACTGTACCATTCCCTCCTGATCACCTGCAACATAGGGAGTAGAAATATGGACTTTTCCTTTCACTGATGGTGGACACCAGCTCAGCTAGTGCCAAAGCTCAGTTATTGCTGAAAGTTAAATAGGAAAATAGATTAGAATTGGACCAAATGTCACTTATTCAGAAAAAAAAAGGCATAATCACTTTTGTGTTAAGTGGGAAATGGAGATCTCATTTATCTCTGAGGTAGGAAAAAAAAATGTTCCAGAGACAAGTCGCATCACAGACTCTGAGGGGAGAACATGCCTTGGGCTGGCACTACACAGCACAGTCCCCAAAACATCACACAAAAATAGATTGTACCGTTTCATTCTCGAGAATAAACAATGGTGGAACTTTTATAAGCTGTGCGACCCCAAAGACATGCTGTCAAGGTGTCCATCTTAAAATGAGAAATACTGTTCCCCTCCACACGCGGGGCAGGGTATTAGCGCAGGTATGTGTGCAGGGCGGGTTTTCTGGAGGTATTCCTGACTCCTCGGGGGGGTGAGGTCCGTGGTTCAGTGCTCTTAAATGCCGCTTTCAAAGCTTACTTTGGAGTTTTGAGATCAGGATCTCAACTTTAAGAGTTTGTTTCCTTCAGCTTCCTAAGCACAAGACACATTCGGACATTTCTTCTAGGCAAGTAGCAGAGTAAGCCAGAAATCTTTAAGAAAGGTTGGGGTCACTACACGGAGACAGTAAATAGGAAGGGGAATTGCTGAGATGTGACAGTTGCTCATTCGGTCTAAGAATTCTTGGGTGCTTCAAATTGATTGGAATGTACAGTCTCTCAGAGACGAATTTTTATGGAGAGAAAGAGAAGCTAGTGGATGCAATCAGAAACCCACAGTCCTAAGCAGTTCCTTGAAAACTTTTACAAAGCTGATTTTGGTAAAGGTGGTACACTGACGTTTACGTGCAAGGGAACTGCAGGCAGGTCCAGTACACTACCTAATCCGATCCGACAGGCAGAGCCATCTGCGAGGCAGCTGAAGGGACCGCGCTCCCTTATAGACCCAGACACGTCTTGTGGTCGTCCTGGAGCTTTATCCTCTTCATGCCGGAGCTGGAGTAGCCCTCGTCACTGCCGAGGCTCTGCATGCTGCCCCGCTCGTCAGAATCACTCACGCTGCTGCTGCTCCAGTCCAGGTCACCTGTGAGATAGTCTGTGCTTTCAACATCCACATCGATTTCTTCTGTGGGGAAGATGAGAGAGAGAGAGAGAGAGAGAGAGAGAGAGAGAGAGGTGAAGGCACTCCTCAGAAAACACAGGCTGCCAATCAAAGCGATCCCAGCCCTTCCTGGATGCTGGTGCCTAGCTGCTAACAGGGCCTTGTAGAGGAGGGCACATTGCTTAACTTCTCTAAATCACAGGCAGGCTGCGAGTTCCTTCTCGCTCTGCCTGTGCGGAGTGGGTGTGGGGTGCCGGGAGAGGCTCACCCCTGTCGGAGTCCGAGCGCTCGGAGGAGACCGTGGAGCCAGTGCTGTCTGTCCGTATCCTCTCAATGCCCAGCTTCTCCAGCTGCCTCTTCAGGTGTCGCTGCTCTCGCTGAAGCTGGTCTATTTGGTGAATGGCTTTTCTGTCACAATCTTCAAGTTTCTGCAAGTCAGAGGAGTAGCTGTTGGAGCCCACAGGCAGATTTCAAAATTGGCAGTGACCCTGCCTCTTCCTCTCTAGCACTGAAGTATACCAATTTTCCTCAGAAGCCATTTGCTGTGTCACTTATCTAGCTTCGCCAGACAAGAAGTTGACTGGCCAGTGACTCCTGTCTTCGTCTAACTTCTTCAGCAATGACATCGTTGAGAGTACCTGTCCTGTCACTGGGACTCTGGAGGGGAGCTCTGACTCTAGCTAGCATCCTGGTACCCCTCAGTTTTGATACTGGAATGACTAGGTGGGACCCCTGACCTGGTCTTACATCTCCCTCATCTGTGGTGATAACCTGAACCTTATCTCTCTGAACTGGAGCACTGCCGTGATGGGAGCTTAAGAAACACACTCCCATTTAGAAGTATGTTTATTCAAGTACGTGGCCCAATTGCAGAGACACATTTTTTGTCATCCCAAATCTCAACTTCTGTTAGCAAGAAATAATGGTTCCTTTTGAAGTCCTGATTCCAAACTGTCCAACGTAATAGCTTAAAAAACACATTTCCATAAACTACTTGTTTTAACAAATCTGTTTGTGGTGGTTTTGCATGAAATAGGTGGTTTTCCTCCAGAACTGTCATGTTTGCTGGCTACTAACCATAATCAAAGTGACATCTGTCCAATGATGATATGACTTTAAAAACATGCTAAACAGTGATTTTTGGCAGTGGCTCTCAGAAATTTAATATAACTCCCTCACTCTTTGCTATTCAAGCTACGTGCTGAGTCCCGACTCTGCTGCAGACCCTCTGGGAGGTACAGGGGATACAAGGTGGGTGCAGTGACCCAATCCGCTCTCTTGTGGAGTCTACACTCAAACAACAGACAACCAGACAGTCACACAAACCATGGCCAGGGTTCAACAGTGACAAGTGCTGAGAGAGAGACACCCAATCCCAGGACCCCTTGGAGCAGGAAGGAGGTAAGAGGGCTAGGAGAAGTCTCCCTGAGCTATGGTACCTGTGCTGAGATCTGGACAGATTGTTCTTGGGAAGCACAGAGGTCAGCCTGGAGCGGGGCCAGAGGAAAGCAGGGGGCCCGTGAGGAGTTTACTGTAGTAGGTGATGGCAGGGTGAAAATGGAAGCAGACCAGGTTGTGAAATATTTAGGTCTTGGAGAGACGGCTTAGATATACACCACTCAGGAGCAAGAGCTATCAAGGGAGACCCAGCATTTCTGGCTTGTACAATCACATGGACGGCTGGATGGACCTTTTAACTTCTGGTGTACAGACGGGGGTGAGAAATGCTCCGCTGGGCTCTGGACATGTTGAGCTGGGCTGCCGAGGATTCACCTACGAGGCAGCTTGGGGGAATTCAGAGGAGAGGACAGGCCTGGAGATAAACGTTTGCTGTTCCTGGTAACAACAGACACATCTTCACTGGACAGTAACGAGAAACAGGCATCCCAGGGATACACTTACCTTTATGTGCAATTTGGCTTTTGTTAATAAACTCAGTGTAGTGTGTCGACTTGACTCAGGCCCAAGTGGAACTAGCCCCTTCAACTTCTCCAGGCACAAGCGAAGATGGGCCCGTCTATGAAAACAAGATCACAAATCATTTGAGAATTTCACAGTAGACTAGAAGGCACCCCAGAAGAACAAATTCTAAAGGATATGAAGTTGTCCAGGCCCAGTAAGGGCAAATGCTTCCAGTGACCTCTCAAATAGAGGTCTTTTTGAAATCAGTCAACTCTGGTGAAAACCATGGAGAAGAAAAATCCAGGGTTTTCTAAAGTGACATCTCTTTATCATAAAAGTATCAGGGTAAGGACTAGTATCTGCTATTAGGCACATTTATCCAGTTATCTCTGGTCTCTGGTCTATAGGGAACCCACAGAGCATCCAAATTCAGAAAACAACGACATGCCAGGGTGAGAACCCTTTTAACCCCTACTCAATTATTTAGGGCTACTAAATCACTGCTGTCTGTAGTGTTTACATGTGTGAACAATTATTCATTACAGCTTTATTTACAAGAGCAAAGACTGAAACAACCCAACTCACTACCATTAGAGACATAATTAAATAAATCAGGCACACCCACACAGTGCAGGACTCTGTAGCTATGAAGAGAGAGTGAGAATGTGTTCTATGTACTGTTAGGAAAGAGTTCTCAGATGCTGAATGAAGAACAAGGCATCACACTACATACAACATACTATCTCTGGGTAAAAATGGAGAAAAAATTATGGTTTTCCTCATACAGATTTATACAGTGATTCTGGAATGATACATAAGAAACGATGGCTAGGCAAAGAGAAGTCAGGGAATAGACAGGGAAAAGGAGAGGGAATTTTTATTGAGTAATTTATACTCTGGCTTTTCAGCCATGTAAACAGTTGCTATTCAGGAAGTTCAATACATTTTTAAAAAATAAGGAAAAAGCACATCACCTGTTTTGGCTATACTAACAAGTACAGCAGTTGGAGCTACACCACAGGAAGGTCTTAGAGGGGGCAGAATGGCACAGAGAGACAGGGAGAAAGGGAGAAAGGCCGGAAGGCTCGAAGAAGCAGAAGCCACAGCAACCCATACGAGAGAGCCTTTAGTCACAGACTAGCCACAAGCACAGGAGTCCCTAAAAGTTTGGAAAGTCACATGTCATTGAAACTCTTGTTTGGGCTTTATTCTAGAACCTAGTAGAGTCCATGAATGTGAGAAACAGGCAAAGTTCAGGGTTTCTGCTCAAGATTCAGAGTTTTTGCTTTAGCCTACCACCTCCTTAAATCCTTGCCTTTTCAGCCCATAGGGATTCCTTCATTTCCTGAGTAGTGTTTTCTATTATTCATTGGGAAATTCACTGTTCTGCCTGAATTGTTGCATATTTGTTACTTCACTATTCATTGCAAACTCTTTAGAAAGCTGGGACTGCAGCTTAATGATTGCGGTATTACCACAGTGCCTTCTCCCACATGCTTAATAAATGTTTGCTGATTGGATTATGCCACCTATTCAACTAGACTTTAAGCTTCTCGAGGACAGAGTCCATCTCTACCACATCTCTGCACCTTAGGCAGTGCTCACGCTCCTGGGGTTTGGCAACATGACCACTGGCCACACACAACACCTGGGCAGAGCTCCTGGGAGGCTACCTTCCAGCTGAACTGGGAGACAAGTTTAGTTTGCTCTTTACTTCCCTCTTAAATGTTACTATATCAGCATAGGCTGGGAATGTAAACCAAAATAAAACTGCCTCAGAAAGCTCTAAGGTCAGCACAAATGATATTGACTGGGAGTTCAATCTACTGCCCTTCATATCAAAACTTCAGGATATTCTCCCAAGGCAGATCTAATAAGGGGTTTATCAGATGTCCTCTGAGCCCCGTGCCTCATCTGGATCCTGAACGAGTTGTTGTAGACTCTCCGAGGGCCCTCAAAGCCTTGACAGGCTGGAGGAGTACAGCATTCGCTCCTAAGCGAGAAAGATTTAATGGTACAAATGCCTTGGTGTTTTATAAGACTTCCATTTGCTCTGAAGACCTGTCTGTGGAATGACAGCAAGCAAAGACTCACTTTAGAGGTTTGTTCCTCCTCTTACTCCATGAGGGGGAAAAGAAAAAGCAGGGCTTGTGTGGAAAATGTACTTGTTCACTTTAGATAATATTCTTCAAAAAGAGCCATGAAAATACGTATTACTAGAAACACCAGGAGAAAGTAAAATTAGTCACTTATATAGTTATTCAACTTATTTCTCACTACAAAGTGTATAGACTAATTGTTAAATCAGGAAAAATGTTCAAAAATGAAAACTGGATTCTGGACATTTTTCAGCCTGCTTGTTATTTGCAAACATGGCATGATTCAGAACAGTTTCATTATTAGTCCTTTTATAATGTGGGTTTATCTACAAATATGAGAATGTAATTTTTTAGGAAGTTTGTCTACTGATAAAAATATTTTAACAAAGTCATCTTTCCATGCATTGTCATTTCTATTTACACAGGGAGTCTAACCCAGAAAGTATAATTTTCACTATCCAAACATGAGTTTCCAAAGATCACTCCCAGCTGTGAAACTAGACATAAGCCATCTAATTCAAGCTGAGGATAATACATGTTCATTCAGCCTAGTTCTATGAAAACAGGGGCAGGGTGCTTCCTGCATTTTTGTAGTGATCCAAAGCCAGCTTCTGCCTTTGGCCCAGCCTGCCCTGGCCTTCAGCACCTCACTGCTCCAGCCTGCTGGCCACCCTGCCCACCTGCCACTCGCCTACAGACACATCCCCGGGCTGGTGCCTGGGCCAACCACAGGGGTGGGATGCAGTCACTTCTACAGAGTAGTGAAATTCAATTATCGAACCAATAAAGTAGCACAAAGACCCCTCTGTAATGGCTCCTGCTGAGGGTTCTCATCCCTCAGGCAGACAGACACACCCACACGCATGTGTGCACCCTCCACCAGGGATCTGGAACCCTTCGGCTGGCCCTGAGCACCCTCGGAACACCGAGGCCTGAAACAAGCAATACAAGCACTAGCCTCAGTGTCCCCTCCTCAGCCCCATGTCTCTGCCCAGGCCTCTCGGCTTCTAGGAGGTGCCAGTGTCCCAGTCTGAACCAGGTCTAACTCCCCCTCGGGGAACTAGCAAGGGTTTTGCCAAACGTTGTCAACAGGAATCACTCAGTATGTTGACCCAACCCCTCCTTAGATCTCCTACCATCATGCCTTCTTCAGACAGTCCTGTTGCCAAGAGCTGCCTCCCAGCTGCCCCAACTCCCCAGCAGAAAAGGGCTCTACCAACTCCTGGCACCCTCCTGCCCTTAGCGACCTCTTCTTTTTGTGCTGATCCAACAGCTTTGTAACTAGGTCATGAACTTAGTATCAAATGTCACCTGCTGACTTCAGAAATATTGTTTTAATTGTTCTCATTGGGCTGATAACCCTTAGGTCTACAGTAGCATACAGAAACCAATCTTTGATTTGAGCTATAATCAGTGATGCTCAGAATCAAGTGTGGCCTACAACTAGTGATAATTAACATTAGATAATTAACATTAGGCCTACAACTAGAGCTTTCCTCAGTTTTTTAAAAAAGTATCTCAAGTTTTTGTTTTTAATTATTTTTATATTCTCTCTCTGTCAGTCACTACACAACCAAATGTTAATACGATGATTAAGAGTAAAGGTTTGGGTTCCTCTTACTCTCTGTGTGACCTTGAGCGAGTTACTTAACTCTGTGTAGCACCCTTTTCCTCTGCTGCAGAGGGAGGAGGGCCCTGCCGGAGAGGCTGTGGTGTGAAATGAACCGAGACAAGGCGTGGGAGTGCCTGGCCAGGCCCTGACGTGGAGTGCTCCACGTAGAGTGGCACTTAGCCTTTCCATCCTAGCTTCCTCTGTAGACCGGTGGTTGCTGGGAGCACGCACAGGTAATCATAGCATTGTAATATTCCTTTTACAATCAACTGGGATCTCAAAGTGTCTCACTAGGTAGACAGACACTATCTGGTAAAGCCCAATTCACTGAACTCTTCCTTAAAAAACACAGTTACCTTTTGTCATTAAGAGATTTAATGGAAAACCTAACCCACCTTCTATGGAAACGCAGATTTTGCTTATCCTAAAGATACTATTTTTTACATTTAAAAAATTAGCAAGGATTTTATAGAGCTAATGCATGCAAAAGGAAGGACTTCTTCATGGCCACATGCATCATGTAGATGCAGGGGGAGAAGGGACCCACAGGTTGGGAGGGAAGCATCTGAAGCACACCCAAGCCTTCCTCCTACATATCTACTGCAAAAGCCGAAGGGGAAGAAAATAGGGGCAAATATGCATCAACCTTAGAAATCCAAGCACATCTCTGGATGTGCTATCCATAGCGACAGAACCTAAAATAGCTTGTGTACAAAAACAGAAAGAAGGCATATTTAGGAACAAATTTAAGACAGTTTGGGAAGGACTTCTGGGAAGAAAACTATAAACTTTGCTGACAGACATAAGAAAATCTGAATGAATGAGAAAAAAATACCCCATGCCTAGATATGAACCCTCCAAGTAAAGATGTCAGTGTTACTCAAGTTTGTCTACAAATTTAACATAATTCCAAGAAAAAAAATCCCAACAGTATTCTTTTCAATGCTGGGAAATTAGTCTAAACTTCATTTAGAAGAATGGAGGTGTGAGAGGCTGCCAACATTTTTTAAAAAGAATGAGAAGGAATGTGCTGTATCAGATACTGAATTGCATTATAAAGCTTTAATAATTAAAACAGCATCTACTGATAAGGGAACAGACAAATAATACATATTAAAGATTTAAATATAAAATATATTTGGATATCACACATTTCTGCTGTTAGTTTTCCTTAACTCTCATCAGCCATGAATTATGGAAAACTAAAAGTACCCAAGTGGAAGGAAGCCATTAATGAAGAGGGCTCGGGGCTGCTGGAGGCACTCCCTCCTACCAGCGCTCCGGCACTGACAGAAGGCACCTTGGGCTTAACCAGAGTGCTCGTAGACAATTCTGAATGCTGCTCTTTTTATTTTTGCCTTCAGACTCAAGCTTCCTTGGTTCTTCTTGGACCATGTCTCTCTT